AGCTGATGATGAATAAAAGGAAGGAAGGAGCTGATGATGAATAGAAGGAAGGAGTTGATGATGAATAGAAGGAAGGAAGAAAGGAAGGAAGGAAGGAAGGAGCTGGGGATGAATAGAAGGAAGGAAGGAGCTGATGATGAATAGAAGGAAGGAGTTGATGATGAATAGAAGGAAGGAAGAAAGGAAGGAAGGAAGGAAGGAAGGAAGGAAGGAAGAAGCTGACGAAGGAAGGAAGGAAGGAAGGAAGGAAAAGAGAAGGAAGGAAGGAAGGGTGATTAGGGGGGTACCTTCAGGGGCATTGCGCAAGGCCCGAGATGAGATCTCTCTTTCTCCCACCAGCCACACATAGCCGGGACCCGTCATGTTCTCCTTGGCCGCTGCTGTGTATACGGTCGTCGCATCATCCTCACTAGAAAAGAGCAAACGGTTGGTAGCTGAGAAGGAAGGAAGGAAGGGTGATTAGGGGGGTACCTTCAGGGGCATTGCGCAAGGCATTGCCCGAGATCTCTCTTTCTCCCACCAGCCACACATAGCCGGGACCCGTCATGTTCTCCTTGGCCGCTGCTGTGTATACGGTCGTCGCATCATCCTCACTAGAAAAGAGCAAACGTGGAGGTTGGTAGCTGGTGCCTCTTGCCCCTTGCCCTCCTCTGCCTTTCGCCCCGGGGGGCTCCTTCTGCGGAAGGCAGAGGGAGAAAGACCTGAGGATTGAAGGCTTGTACCAAAGCTCTTCCAGAGGACCGGATTTTTTTGAGGAAGGGTTTTCAGGCGAGGAGGGGGAGAAGGGAGGGGGCCGGATGGAGCTGCCAAGGCCACACACACAGGGGCAGGAGGGGAAAGAGAGGCACAATGGAGGCGGGCGGCGAGCGATGGAATGACTGCAGACTTTCAGAGCTAGAGGGAAAGTTGCCAAGTTGTGCTTTTGACAAATGTCTCGTCCATCAAGGGTGAGTCACTGGGAAGGGCAGGTTTTGAGCAGCAGTGGTAGGGCTGGGTGGGTATGTTCGGAGGAAGCATCTGCAGGGGGAAAAAGATGTGTTTAACCTCCTGAAATGGTGCTGTTTCTTTCTTTCTTTCTTTCTTTCTTTCTTTCTTTCTTTCTTTCTTTCTTTCTTTCTTTCTTTCTTTCTTTCTTTCTTTCTTTCTTTCTTTTTCCCTTCCTCCCTTCCTCCCTCCCTCCCTTCTCTTTTCCTTCCTTCCTTCCTTCCCCCTTCCTTCCTTCCTTCCTTCCTTCCTTCCTTCCTTCGCTATCACCTTTCCACTGTGTCTTTAAGGCAGTAGGATCTGAATTCATATTCGACAACTTTACAATATTCTGTTTTCTGGGAAGCTGTGAAATTTGGGGAGTCATATGAAAAGCAGAGTCACAGACTGTGTGAAATTGAGGCCTCGTTTCTCTCCCCCCTCATTAGTGCCATCTGTTTCCCTTTCCTTGGTCCTTGTACTTAGGGAGAGAAGGGGATGCCAGCCTCTTCCCATCCCCCCCCCCAAAAAACCATTTTTACCTACTGTGGGCGAAGCAGTCCCGTTGCTCGCCAACCCCTTGACGGGGAAAACGGTTCCCGCTGGGGTGCTCAAGAAGGCACCCGGCTTCTGCCATCCATTTATCTTCCCAGCCAGTGCGAAAACCCTGGGGTGATGGCCAGATGCTTTCCATATATTATTTTAAATTTTATTACCCAGAATAGAATTTAATTTTGGGACTACTTCCATTGGCAGGTATAGGGGCCCTCCAGAGTGAGAAGATTCAAGACTTTATTGCTGTTGGGTTGGGTCTGCTTCCCCACCCCATCCCCCATTAAATCAGAATTTAAAATGGCAATTCACGGAAGCTGCACATCTAGACTTATCACGAAATAAGCTCCAGCGAACGCCGTTGGTTCTACTTGCACGTAAAAAAAGGCATGAGTGCCCACTCTTCAGAATGAACCTCTGTGTAGAAATGAGACTAGAAGCTGTGCTTTTTTTTTCTTCCCATGGTGACCCTCAACAGTAGATGTACCGCAGGCGATGCTGACGGGACAGCCAGCATAGTGGAGAAAATAGCTGGTTGCATGTGGACCCAGAAAAGATGGATTTCAGCTCTCTTCGGCTGGATCGCTGCCGGTATACAGTCGTGCCTTGCTTTACGATTGCCCCGCATTACGATGAAGCTGCATTACGATGACGTTTTTGCGATCGCTTTTGCAATCATAAAACGATGGTCCGAATAGGCTTCTTTTCGCTTTGCGATGATCAGTTCCCTGCTTCGGGAACCGATTCTTCGCAAAACGACGATTTTCCTACAGCTGATCGGCAGTTTCAAAATGGCCTCCGGGTAAATAAAATGGCTCCCCGCTGTTTTCTGGGACGGATTCCTCGCAAGACAGCCACCGAAAATGGCCACCCTATGGAGGATCTTCGCTGGACTATAAGTTTTTAGCCCATTGGAACGCATTACATGGGTTTTAATGAGTTTCAATGGGTTTTTTATTTTCGCATGACAACATTTTCGTTCTACAGCGACTTTGCTGGAACGAATTAATGTTGTAATGTGAGGTACTACTGTATTTAGCTGCATCTAAAAGCACACACTGCCTCGGCATTTTGGGGGGGTGAAACAAGGTGAAAAGGTCTGCCCATGCAGACAGATGGTAACGCTGATATGGGAAGCCCTGCCGTTGCTCTGATCTGGCTTGGTTTCCGTTGCTCTGAACTGGCTTTGTTGGCCCTCAGTACTGTCTTTGGAGAGCCACGTCTGATTCAGCCCGTATTTTCATCCTGCTTATAACGTCATCTACGGAATGACTGGAGATTACACTGGTGCTTAAGCAAGACAGGCTGATGTCGTCACTTGAACGCATACACTCATATTTTCTTGGATCTCTTGCTTCAGCGCTATGGCAGAGGCACAGCAGCAAAGAGAAATGAGGACAGGACCGGAGGGTTGAGGTGGGGAGAAAGCAAGCCTGTGTATGAGCATAGGTAGGATGATGGGTGTTGGAATTAAGCAGAGCAGCCCTTTTGCGGCTTGGGGAATGTTTGGTGGTGGGCTTCCACCGGGCGCTTACCTGGCCGAGAGGATGATAACGCGAGCTTCCAGTTCCTTGGCTTCCAGGAGTAGGGAAGTCACGTTTTTGGTTCCGGGTTCGAATTGCAGCACCTTCTCAGCCTGTAATTCGTATGAGCAAAGCAGGTGAGTCCAAAAGCCGAGCCCTCTTAGGTGAGAGCCATGCTTTCTAGGAAAGACGCTTTATAACTCTTTCCAAGCACTTGCTAGGGATGGAAAGGAAGGGCAGCTAGATCCGTTTTCTTTTCTTTCTCTCTTTTATTTTTTTTCCTCCTTTTCTTTTTTCTCTTACAGGTTTTCCCCCTTTCTTTCAATATATATATATATTTTTCCTCTTTCTACTTTTTTTTGTCTTTTAAAAATGTTTTGCACTGTGCATGCAAACTGAAGGCACTCAAGACCCAAAAGAGAGGCGTGCATTTGCATAGGAAAAAGGCATATAGAGGTGTATATATAGATATATATATATAGGTAGAGAGAGAGAGAGAGAGAGAGAGATTTATTTTGCAATGCAATTGAAAACTCAAACCAGTGTTGTTTTTCAAAAGGAAAAAAAACTAAAGAGAACCGAAATTAAAAATAAAAAAGAAATAACCAACACGGGAACTGAAAAATTCAAATTAAAAATAATATTCATAACAAAGGAACAGGGTTTACCTCTTGAGAGGGAAGGGGAGGGGGGGAAAAGAATCAAAGTGAGCATTTCTTGCATCAAGGAACTGTTTTCTTTTGGGTTGGGAGGAAAAGGGGGGGGGGAAACAGCAGGAAAGGATTGTTTCAATTGTCCAAGAAAGAAAGAAAAAGACTTGCAAGTTAATTATTGCTTGACATGCAGGTCTCCAAAAGAAATATTTCCAGAGCTGGCTTGCTAGTTTTTTCCATTCTCAAACTTATCCCAACATAAAAGAACGTGCTTCCAAACACATGGAGTTTGCCCGCTTTCTTGATATAGATATGTTTGGGTTTGTTTTTATTATTTTTTTCCTCTTTTTTTTCTTTTTTCTTTTTCTTAAAAAAATAAATTATTATTCTTATTATGATTATCATCATCATCGTCATTATAATTATTATTATTATCATTATTATTATTTTGTGCCTGTGGCCAAGTTCATCATTTTTTGCTAGTCGGGTTTGGTGGGCGGCGTGCATTGTCCATGCAAAATATACCTTGGGTCCACGCTTGTTGTCATAGGATAGTTGTTCGAGGCTGTCATAGTTCCTTTTTTTACTCTGATGAATAATGTGCACAGAAAAAATATGTAGACACAGAAGAATATTATAAACAGTTGAAAAAAAATGACGTGTAGTAAAGCAAATCCAATATCCAACTCCTCCTCCATTGTTTGCAAAAAAGGGGGGTCTAATAACACTGGAGCTCACAAGACCCCCCCCAAAAAATGGGGGGATGCGGTGATGGCAAGGGAAGGGGGCCAAGGTGGTGATGGGGGGCGCATTTCCTCTCTACCAGGCTGGGACCCTTTTGCAAGGTTTGCTAGCAGGCGAACTGAATCTGGCTGGTCCTGGACCGGGCTGATCCCCCCTCCCCGTTCTTCAGGCTGTTGGGTGAATCTCGAGGACCCTTCGCCGGGGGGCGGGGAGGGGGACCTGGCCGGGCTTCCCTGTGGATGGGCAGCCAGGGAAGGAAAGTGGTGTGTGTGGGGGGGCTAGCAAAGATCCTCTATGCTCACCCTGGGCATGATGACCCCGCGACCCCTTTCCCCAAGCATTTACAGACCGGCCGTGGCAAGCAAGCCCATATGAACGGGTCCTCTGCATTCAGATGGAACTAGTAATTAAAAGGGACGGATGCTTGAATGTGCCATGAGAAAGCGGCTTCCCTTCTCGCCCTGGTTCCCGAGAGAGGACCAAGGTCAAAATGTCAGAAGAGCTTTCTTAGAGCTCTTCCCAGCAGAGGCTAGCTAAGGGCCCACCAGGAAAACTGGAGTCAACAGCCTTCCCCAGTATACCGCTGGGGGGGGGGTATACTGACTTAGGCTCCAATGTTTGGATGCACAAACTTGGTTAACCTCCCGATTGATTGTGTTCTTAAGAGCATCTAAATTCTCCCCCCCCCCCCCCTTAAGGTAGGTCGATTTTAGCCAGAGNCAGAGTTTATTATTCAACTGGTTCTCTATAAATCTCAAAAGCAAAGAGTGTAGCATCCGCGGGACTCCAATGAGCTTAGAGACCCATTAAAACCAGAGGCTGCCCTGCCGTAACTCCATGTGGTTTATTGGCCTGGTGCTATCCTACCCTATGCAGCTGACCTCTTCTAGATAGGGAGCTCCTTTCCATTGGGTATGATGAGATTGCTTATCCAGGGAGCCAGAATGACCTAGCACCAGAAAAAAAGTTCTCTGTTGTTTTAATGCTTGAATCTGTGCCCTGTTCCAGGCTGGCTTCTAGTATGAAATCATGTGCATTTCGGGGGCTCACAGAGAAGGACCCCGGGCGGCTTCTCTGAAGGTCCTGCTTAAACGCTTGGGAGATGGCTTTCGAAACTAAGACTGCTTCGGAATGAAGAGCAATCTGTGTCCCTTTTCCCTGGGGAAAAGGAAAGGTCAGATTCTCTTGGGAAAGAACCCCCTGCTCTATGGGACTTCCTTCTGAGTCAGCCTGCGCGGGGTTGGGGTTACGCCACCGCACGAGGCAGCTGCCGTGCGACTCGAGAATCTGCTGGTCCTGCTCAAGACGCAAGCCCACCCACGGACCCCGGCCGATCTCTCCAGCGCGTCTTTCATGGGAAATGTTTTGAAAGAAGTCCGACTTGCTGTCAGCCTCCTGGATTCCTTTACAGGTACAGGAAATCGGGATGCGCTCGGGCCTCAAAGCGATTGTGCTTCCTGGTTGCGTGAGCGTAGTTTTTTAAGCCCAGGGACATCACGGCAGTGCTCGGCCACTCTGCTAAGGTTGAATGTTGTTGCCACACCGAGGGCCAGGAGGGACTCTTCCTACTGAAGACTCTAGGATGGGGTGGCAGATGTGGCCAAAGGCAAGGTGCTTTTTCTCTCTCCCCCCCCCCCCCGTTTTAGTTCCTAACCTGGGTTGTCTGAAAATGATGGAGATTGGTCTTCCTTGGAGGAACCAGAGTGCCGTTTAAAGAAGAGTTTGGCAGATGGAAGGAAACAACCAGAATCGCCCCTGAGTTGATGGCAGCTTTTCCATGACCTTCAAAATTGCCTTAAGGTAGGGGTTTTGTTGACCTTTGTTTAATTCATCCTCTGGACTCTTAAAAGGGCTGATGATTAGACTAAGATCCACTTATTCTTGCTGGCTGAAGGGCTTCCATGTCTTATTCCCCTGAGCCTCAACCCCCCCCATCTCTCCGGTCAGCTCCTGTCTCTATGCTTGCCTTTGTGGGAGGGGGGGAGAGAGGGGGGCCCTTGTTAAAATGCAGCTTTGCTTTCCTGGACGTTCAGGTGTCTCGGGGCAAACGGGCAGCCATTTCGCTTTCTGCCTCTGCCGGCACCCCTTTTAGAGGGTCTGCCTTTCCCTCTCCTAGTTTGAATCACAAGGACAAGCCCCCTCTTTGTGGACGTTAATGGCTCTTTTGGGGGAGCAGCTTAGAGATTGCCGGGAGACGGAGGCAGGCCAGTGTCTGTCAGCTGTGAGGCGAGGAGGGGGAAGATCCCGGCAGACACATGTCCCACGAGTGGAGTCTCTCTGGGGAGGTCAGAGAAGGCCACCCTGTCTTGGGAGAGTGACTGGCTGGATGGCATTCCTGGGAGCGTTCCTCTGACCCAATGGATGGTAAAGCCAGATCAGGTGGAAGGGCGTGGACCGATGGCGTTTGGGTCAGGCTGAAGGGGTTTTAAGGGAATGGGATGAGAGGGGGTAAACGTGGTCTCCAGTGATGCTGGTGGAGAAAAAAAGGAGCCTTTTTGCTGGATTCCAAAGAGCAACCGAAGGACTGGCGGCAGACCTTTGTGCTCAGATATTGGGAACATCAGTTGAACCTGGTGATGGTTGATTCTACACAATGTCCTGCCTCTTCTAAGCCGTGCTCCTTGTGTCGACCCTCCTGGTGAGCTAACCTGGCCCTGCCAGACTTATAATCACGGTTGTCAAGAGAGGCAGGAGAGCCTCTCTGTTGCCTCCTTCGGGCTCAAAACTCAACATAATGATTTGTATGGTGGGAATAGGGTGGAATCCCCTCCTGGAAGAAGAGGAAGCTCTCAAGAGACTGAGAAGTACAGTGGTGCCTCGCTAGACGATGATAATCCGTTCCACTGAAATTGCTGTTTAGCGAAATCACCGTCTAGTGAAAAGCATTTCCCCATTGGAATGCATTGAAACCTGTTCAATGCATTCCAATGGGGAAGAATCGTCGTTGTCTAGCAAAGATCGGCCATAGGAAAGCCGCTTTGCGAACCGCCGATCAGCTGTTTACATCGCTGTCTTGCGAAGCTTAGGTCCCGAAAACATCCGTTTTGCGAGCACGGAGGGAGATGTCAAAATCGTCGTCTAGCAAAAATTGGTTTGCAAAGCAGGGACCAAACATTGTCCAGAGAAATTCCCCCATAGGAATCACTATTTTGCGAATCGCTATAGCGATTGCAGAAAGTCAATGTCTAGCGCAAAAACTGTCATGCGGTGTAACTGTCTAGCAAGGCACCGCTGTAATGCCAGCCCTTTCCAGCTCTAAAAGACCCACCTCCGGGACATTGGGAAAACCGAGCTAGTAAGAACAACTGCCTGCCTGCCCTATTATTTTGGGGGACTGGGATGGGGGGAAAGGGGGGTTTGGAGAGCTCCAGGTTATGCATCCCCTCATTTCACAGTCGTTGGTGCTGTTTTTTTTTAATGTATTTTTTTTCAAGGTAGGAGATTTTTTTTTTGACCATGGCAAAGCAAGTGAAATGAATAAGAGTACAAACTTTGTTCAGGTACTACTCAAGAGACACTGTTGATGCTTAAAGCATAATGTTAGTCGTGTTAACAATGGGAAGAAAGAGAAGGTGTTTTTACATACAGAAGTCCTACGTACATACATACATACATACATAAAAAGTCTGAGACTTTAAGAGGGTTTTTTTTTTGGTGGCATCAACAAACAATGTCACGTGGCAGGACGGCTCAGATACTGACCTTCGATTCTTTCTCCTCCAAGAGGGTCTCCAGCTTCTTCTGGGCGGCCCGCCCTTCGTGGTCGTCGCTGACGATGAGGATGATGTGGTTCCACTTGTAGAAGCGCATCATTTCGAACCAGACGTTGGACTGGTGGGAGTAAGGTGGGACTGTCCGGAGGAAGGACAGGTGGATACTCTGGGGGGAAAGAGCACAGGGCCAAACCGATCAAGGGGGAGGGAGGAGAGAGAAGGTCACCGCAGGGAAAGACAGAGGCCGTGCCAGCCGGTGGGCTTGCAAAGTTTCTAGAATTGCCAAATATATGGAGAATCCAGAAAACGCTTGCTCCCAGATCGATGCTCAACATGCAAAAAAACCAAAAATATAAAGTTTTTTTTTTAAGGAAGAGAAACAGATCTTTGCGGTGAATGAAGCAAAACCGTTTCAGAGGCCGTCTCCTTACCACTAGCCACCCGAAGTGCTAAAGCGTGGGCAGGATCCCTTGAAGAAACCTTGGAGAATGAGGCTCGCCCAGTAATGCTCACTTCTGATTCAAGGGCACTGTCGCCCAGTAGAGCGCTATGTTGTTCAGCGCTAAGTGGAACCTCTGAATTCTGTTTCCAGGTAGTTCCGGAGAAGCCCTTAAAGGGCTGTAGGTCAAAAGCCGTCTTATGGGATGAGAGAGTCCTTTATAAAACGGTGTAACGTTCAGCGCCAAGAATAGAATACAGGGCTTTTTTTTACAGGGCCCAGCGACACTGCACGGCCGAATCCTACCAGATGGAGGAATGAGAGCTACGATAGTAGCTTTTGGTGGATGAGCTAAACGAGTAGAGGAGGTTTGGATACGTCCTGTGACTTTTTGTGCACAAGGTGCCTTCTATGGCCGTTGCAGAGGGAGAGGGCTGTGGACCTTGGGCTCCCCTGGCAGCCGGCCTCCCTTATGGGCATCTTTTTGGGTTCATGCCCAGGGTTCTGTGCCCTCTCCCTGAAGCCGCTCACTCTCTTTCCAGGGCAAAAATCCCTTTCAAGTCATGGCCAGCCCTGCTGTGGGGGGGGACCAGGGATTTACCGAAGGGCAAAGGTGCTGCTTCCTGCCAGCTCGTTGGCTCCCTTCTTCCTGCACGAGAGAGCTGCCAGCCGGGGACAACCAGTTAGTAGACCTGCTCTTTGGGCAGGAGGGAGGGAGGCTGCGCAGACGCTCATCCGGCCGGGCCCGAGAGCGGCCTGGCAGAGGGAGGAACCCCTCCAGCTGCATCTAGGTCAGCTGCGGCCATGGCCACCCAGCGGAAACTCATCTCGGGGTGGGGGCCGGGATGCTGAGCGCTCAGCCGTGTGTGACAGAGAAGCTCCTAATCTCTCCCTTCCGGTTGCCTGGATCTATAGCACTGGTGCCAAGTGGAATTTCGGACCTATCCTTCCCTGCCGCCTTCTAGCTCTGCCCTCCCAAATTGCCCACACTTTCTGGAACAATCCCACTGCTGCTGCTTCTTCTTTTTTGTTTCTAGAAGGTAGGGCGTGGATCGCTTCCCTTCCTGCGTGAGCGAGAACGTTGCGGTTTGTCTCCCTTAAGGTGGATAGTTAAGCCGGGAGATGGTTTGGTGTTTTTTAAAAAAATGCATATGGAAATATTTGGCTACATCTTAATCAGGGGCCCCTTTTTACTCAACCAAAAGTTTTTTTTTACTAATTAATGGTTCAATTCAAGGTTATCATTGCACCAGTGGATTCTATGCTGCTGCGGGCAGGAAACTGCGCGTACCTCTTCCGTAAGGAACGCTAACAAGCAAGAGGAACCGATATGCCAACGGTCATAATCGTCATCCGTGGTTTACCTTATCCGAATAGATGGACATGCGCGTCGTCAGCCCGATGACAGGGATCCTGTAGAATCCGGCCGTGTAAGAGACGGGGGTCGGCGTGAGATGGTCATTTGGAGCCGGCGGGTGACTCACTAAGATGGCGTAGACCTGTCAATGAGATCGGATCGATAGGGGTTCGTTGGCACGCGCGCCCTACGACGGTCACGCTCGCCAGCGCTTTGAACAGGAGGAATCCACTGGACAACGGGGGTAGGGAGACCGTGTGCCCGCATGGGAGGTGTTTTTGAGCAAAGATGGCTTAAAAACGCCATTCACACAGACTTTGCTGTACCTCTCCACCTGGCTTGGCAGTCGACCCAACAAGCGATGGGGTCGAATCCTGCACACCTGGCCTGCACCTTTTAGGAAGGCTTCCCTGGTCAGCCTGGGTCTTTCTAAGCCCGTTGTTGCTCTTGCTGAGCGAATTTGCCAGCTCAGCAGGAACCTCTGCTGAAAAGACAGGCTAGATAATGTGATTTATTTAACCGCTCATTTAATACATAAGCTCTAATTTCCCTCCAAGGACTCTTTCAGATGAAACGGTTGCCCAGATCCTGGGGAAAAAAATAGAGGGGGGGGCAAAGCCAGGGAAGGAACTTGTGGCCACTTCTCCTTCGGCGGGAGATGAAACGGTTGCCCAGATCCTGGGGAAGAAAAGAGGGGGGGGGGCAAAGCCAGAGAAGGAACTTGCGGCCACTTCTTCGGTGGGAATCGGCGCCAGAGGGTGGGCGAGAAAAGCCCCTCCCGGCAATTCCCAACTCTGTGGAAATCTGTGGGGCTTCCATCACATTGATCTTTTTAAAATGACGTACTTTGCTTGGAGACTTTGCATTCGCTGTTCTTTATTTTTTTTAAAAAAAATCTGATTTTAAGAGAACTTGGGCCAAGGTCTTGATCTCCTTGATCTAAACAGCCACCCACCCCCCAAAATTTTGTGCGGCAGGGAGGAGAGAGGTCAGTCGGCCTGAGGCCCCCACTTAGGTTTTGAAACAAAGCTGACATGGGAAACGAAAGGAAGGATGACAAAACATAATGATTCTAAAGAGGTATGAAAGTTATATGGGGAGTATGTCTTAATAAAAGGAAAATGTCATAAGACAGCAAAAGAATCAATGTATATATTTGTTTTTGAGGTCATAAGCCAGCAGAAGAATCAATGTAATTTTTTTTTTGAGTGGAATGGGGTAAAAAGGGATTAAAATGATATTTCTGGTCACCTAGTCTTAAGAGTGAGGGTGGCACAGACGGGGAATTCTAGCTGCGTTGTATTGTATGTACACACGTGTCAGTGTTGCTATTATTATTTTTCTTTCATAAAGAATTTTTTTAAAAGGAAAGAAACCACCGGGGGGCATTTTAAGCCAAAGTTTGCCTCTGAATAGCCATCTCTAGGAAACAGTCCTCCCCCCCTTTGTGACCTGGGGCGTGTGGGAATTGGTGATCCTTAGTGCCAGAAGGCTGGATTGGACCCGGAAGAGGCCGGAGGGGGTGGTTGTCACATAGTGGGTGCACCCTTTGCTTTTCTCGCCTCCCTGGGGGCAGCCCAAGCGATGGGCAAGAAGGGATGCATTTTGTATTTTAGCCGTGCATGTTTATTGCGCATTTTTTTGTTGTTGTAAACCGCCCAGAGTGGCCTTACCCCAATCCTGTTTTTTTTAATCTTCTATTTTTACACATTCTAGCTAATCATTTTGAGTTTTGATGGCTAAATATTTTTTAAAAATCCTCTTTAGAGACATCAAATCCCTCTGGACTTTATCTCTTTCTAACCTCTTTAGAGACATCAAATCCCTCTGGACCTTTATCTCTTTCTAATTCCTTTCCCTTTGCCTGAATTTCTGCTAATATCCTTCTATCTCTTTCTTTTTTAAAAAAAAACTTGCTTGCCCAATTTCTCAATGCTTCTTCCAGTTTTTTCACGCTTATCTCCTTAATTTTTGTGTGTTTGTTTGTTTACAGGCTTTTCTGATTGTTATTCCCCTTGATGACGGACAGGCTTTTCTGATTGTTATTCCCCTTGACGACAGCTTTCATCGTGTCCCGAAACAGGCCTAATTTCGTACCTCCTGCTTCATTGATTGTCCATAATTCTAACCGTTCTTTCCATCCTTTAGTCAGATTGGGTGGCATAAAAATGAAATGGAATGAATGGATGGATGGATGAATAAATAAGTGTTTCAAGCCCTTCTCCGAATGAGACTGGTCTGCCCCCCCCATCACATCGACCTCCTGAGCAGCCCTATCTGTGGACCAGGCTGGCATCGAGGACCAACCCCCCTCCACTGGCCTCTGATCCCTGCCAGTCATGCCAAGGGGAGAGGGAATAAGCCAGCCCTGCCCCTCCCTCAGTCCTGCGAGGACCACCTCTCGGGATCCGGCAGCGGCCATTTTGTGTTCCTGCTTCCAGCCGGTAGCCTCTGACGCCCTTGTGAGGGGAAAGGGGCCTGGTTGAACCTCTTCCCCTCCAGTCCAGAGGGCAGGCGAGGGGGTGACGCAGGACCCCCCCTCCTGAGCCCTGTTTCCTTCATGAGGGCTGGGAAAGTGGGAAGGACAGGAGGGTGGCATTTCCAGTGCCTCCCAGCGGCCACCAGTTAAACTGGGGAGGGGAGAAAAGCAAAAGGATGTCCTCCCTCAGAGGAGATGCGCACACCCTTCGGTTCTGCTTGCGGCTGGCTTTTCTGGAGAGCAGCGGAGGGCGGAGGGCATTGCTCTGCCCGCAGTTGCATCATCCTCCCAGCCAACATGGTTTGGCCAGAGGGGTCTAAAGAGGAGAAGCAGGGTGGGGGGGTGAGCTAGAACCAGGGAAGTCTGGGTGGGAGGAGAAGGGCTGAGAGGGCGAGGGGGGGCCTCTCTGTTTTGCCCCCCCTCCCTCTCAGATGGCTTTTCTTGTCAACCCACCTTGGGTAGTCCAGAGGGAGGCCTGGCTAGGGAAGGTCAGGATCCGTGCCCAGGGGCTTTGGATTGGGTCAGGGTCAGGGCACAGCAAAAGCTGGGGAAGGAGAGGGGGGCCCTGTAAGACATTTGGGGCTGGGGTCCCCAAGCACCCCGTCCCCCCTCCATGCCCAAGGCCAGGGGGTCCTCGTCTTCCCTCCAGCGGGAATGCCTGCAATGCGGTTCAAGGCACGTGGTAAGGAGGGAGGGGGGAGACGCCAGGGCCAGGAGGGGAGGGGGCCTCGGCTCCCAGGTTTGGGGGCGCGCTCTTCCCTTGCTCGGCGGCGGCTCCCCCCCTCCCTGGGGTCGCCTGCTCTGCGGATTGCCGCCCCCCTCCCCCGCAGTTATGAAAGGGGCACAACTGGGCGGGGAGGAGGCGA